TTTCAGGATTCCAGCAGTTTTCTGGTGTTGATTCGCCATCCGGAAGGCTCTCATTGGTTGCTCAGAAGACCCCCCACTGCTGCCCACACGCAGGACTTCTTCAAATTCAGCCACCGGACTCTGGATCTTCTCCCTTGCTACTCAAATTCATCTAAGAATTTGACGATGGTGAACTCTTCCCCAAGTTTCCTATTTTCCTAGTTTATTTTCAATTTTGGTTATATTTTGACTCACAAAGTTCATGTCAAGCTCTTCACCGCTAAATCTTAGAGAACTAGAGAGTTGAGTGAGGGACTCATGCATAGTGTCTAATCTTATTGTTAGCATTGGAATTCTTGTTGAAACCACTCATGTATGCAACGTAAGACTTAGTTGACTATTTAATGATCTCAACCTCTCGCATGTGTTTAGACCTAAGCTATTTTATCACCTTATTATTTTTATTTTTTCGTTTAACATCAAGAGGAAGCTTATAATTATTGTGCTTTAAAATTTAAGCGTGCAAACTTCCTTAATTCAATCATCAGTGCATGTTCGTTTTACATCAGTTATTTTTCTTGCAAAAATTAGGGGTTTTTCCTAATTTTTGCCTGCATCAACTTGGCTATATATATTCTAATATTGCATATAGTTCCGCAGGTGGTCAGGGATATGAACCAAGGATTTTAGGTTTAGATGTGGTTTTAGATGGAGTGAAATAATAAAATGGGGCTTTAAGAATATGCTTTATTTATCAGATTTATTTTCAAAGTTTCCCTAAACCCTACTAGTTGAGGTTTACGGCTCTTTTTTGTTGTGTAGAGGCATGCCTCATTTATTTTAAGCGTACACCTTATGGAGAATTTTTGCAATAAGTGCTGAGGCATGCCTCTTTTTATGCAATTTTAAATATTGTTCACAATATTCAAAGAAAAGAACGAAATGAACTTGACAAGGAATGTTCTTATCAATGCTAGAGTCATCATTTAGTTTTGCTAGGTTACGAGATGAAATCTATTGAGTATTACGACATCATTTGTCAGGTGCTTCTGTGTATTACCTTGGAGTGATATGACCCTTAAATATAAGTTGGCATGGTTGAAAAAGTCATGCTTTTTATGCATTGCTTTCTTCATAGGGCCTAGATAAGGGTATGTTGCATGAAACTTTAGCTCCACATGGCAATATGGTTCCGTATGAATTACAGCCTATGTGATCTTTTAGGTTGCAAAGGAACAATCTTAACTTGGGGTGTAAACTAGTCCGTTGGAGCTCAAGCTATCCTCGGATTGGAGTTCTAGCTCAAGCTCAAAATCACGAGTTTGAGTTGGCTCACAATCTAACTCATTTATTAGAACAGAGAGAAAATGAAATTTGATTTAAGTAACTATTGTAATAAAATAATAAAATAAGAGAAATTAGAAGAGAAATAATTAGAAATTACTTGATATAAGTAAGCTATAATTTTAAATATTTTAAATAATTTTATACTTGAGTTCTTTAATTATAATATAATTTAAGTGTGTCCTATGTTAACAATTTTAAATGAGTCAAGTCGGGATTGGTTAAAACTTTGGCTCATTAGCTTATCATTAGCTTATCGACCTTATTTCATGATTCATTTATTGAACTGAGCTCGAGCCGGAACTAGTCGGCTTGGCTTAGTTACACCCCACATAGCTACTAGGTATTTATATTTTATTAGTTGCTACTTAGTTAGCTCTGGTTTTGTAAATTGTGGGCGCAGGTGATGTTGGTGCTCTGGGCTGGTGGGACTTATTCATAAATTATGGGTAATTTTGATATTTTCTCTTCATCATGCTGATTGACATCATATTGCTGGCGTGAATTTACTGAGTACAATTTTTGCTCTTCAGAATTGCCGAATGCTTTGCTTTCCTTGTTTGTACCAAATGGTCTAATCCATTGATACATGGACGGGGGTATTTTCCAGAAACTAGTTCATCTTCTTCAACAATTCGATATCGTGATTGGAACAGTGGTTTGATGTTTTCTTCAATGGAAGATCAAGAGCAGGATAGGTTATGTGGCCTGCAAGATATAGGAGGCCATATTATGAAAATTCCAATTGTAGCTTTTCAGATTTTGTTGTGCATGAAACTAGAGGTATGTATTTTTCTCCTGTTCAGTTATGCATTCTCTCAATTAATATAACTCTGGAATTCAAATTATACATTTCAAAGGGACGCCTGTAATATAGTAGGTTTCATTGCAGATATGGAACATGAAAATACTTGTTTTTTGTTAGTTTTTTTTTTTAAATAAAAAAATGTTTTCCATCTAATTTAATGTTAAAAGTACACGCAATTATGAGCCTTTTAAAAATAACCTCCCAAGTAGAATTTGGATGTTGGTTATGATTTTCTGTGTTACAAATAGCCTTGGCTGCAAAAATGTGCTATGACTGAATTATCTATATACATAATTGAAGAATGAAGCTGGTCTTAATTTAAGCGGCTGATGGGGGTGGGCATGTGGTTGAGGTGGGGCAAGGAAGGTAAAGTTGGTTCCTCCTGATTGCCTTACTTAAACGACGTGATTGAGTTATGTAGGAAGACTGATGTAGAACGGGTAGGAGGATTGAATCCTAACGTTATTGAACTTAATGGAAGAGAAAGAAGTTTCTCTTACATTTGAAGGCGACAAAGATCAAAGGAAAATCTGAAATCAAATTTCAGAAATCAAATTTCAGATTTGGTTTGGAAATTAGGGAGCTATCGAGAGAGGATGCAAGCTCCAAACCTCTTCTCTTAAAATCTGAAAACAGTTTCAGATTTCCAATAAAAATCTGAGAGGAATTTTCAGATTCTAGTGGGCTAGGACGAAGAGAAATTGGAGGAGATGTCTAGCCTTAGTTGGGAATAGAAAGCTGAGAGTAAACTTCCCTTCACAGGTTCTGGACTAGAGAGCTTTTCTAGTGTAATTAGGAGAGAGGAGGGGCGGCAGAGCATGAGAGGAATTAGGGATTTAATTCCAACGGGGATAATATGAGTTGGGAAGGAATTAAATGAGGTGGGGACGTGGGGTTTTCAGCCAAATAAGAATTCTCAGATTTGGAAATAAATCAAAATAATCCCTTATAGGGGCCGGCGGCATGAGGTAATAGAGGAGCATTTAATGAGAGTATTTAAGGCTTCTTAATTTGGTTTAATGAGTTAGGAAAGTAATGAAATAAATCCAATTTGAATTTAAAATTCAAATTGATTTAAATTAAGTACTTTCCTAAAATAGGCGAACTAAATTAGGAAATAAATTATGAATTTCAAATTTAGATAATTTGAATTTCAAATTAAGTCCAAATGTCATTCACCCCAAATTAGGAAACTCAAGAAGGAAGAGGGAAGGGTGAGGCCGGCGGCTAGGGAGCCATGGCCGGCGGTTTGGAGGATTTTCGGGTGAGGGACCGACGACAAGGTGGAGATGGAGACGATGTGAAGTTAAAAGTAGGGAGAGGATTAATATGACTACGAGGAGCAATAAGAAGGAACAAAAACAGAGAAACAAAATATCAAAGATACAACCGCGAGCTCGGCCACATCCTGCGTCTGACAGGTACTACGTTGCCCTTCTCCAAGGGACTTCACTCCACGAGCCCGGACCCATCCTGCGGCTGGTGGAAACTCTGACTCCCTCCCATAGGGATTTCATTAACGTTCTTCCCAAACCCAAGTGCAAAACACAATTTTTTTTATTAATCATCCATCATCCTAATACAAGAGAAGGGACCTCTATATATAGGCCTCAAAAGAAATTAAAAGACACATTTGCCCCTTGGGCTTACATAAGACAAGAGGGTAAAAAGGGAAATTGCAAAACTAAATTAAAATACACTTAATAAACGAAAATAAAACAAAGTGATCTCAGTCGTCGATCTTCAGCTCCTCCTCAGATTTGCATGGATGGTTGGATGTCCGCATCAAAGACCCAACCAATAGCAATATCACATCCACAACAACAACAACAACATCAAGCCTTTATCCCACTACGTGGGGTCGGCTACATGAATCCTTTTTCTCCATTGTGTCCTATTAAAAGTCAAATTCTTGTTTAAATCTAATAAAGAAAGGTCATTCCTAATATTTTCTAACCAAGTCTTTTTAGGTCTACCCATACCTTTCTTAACATAAGTCAAATCTAATACCTCTACTCTCCTAACCGGTTCATCGCAAGGCCGCCGTTTTATGTGACCAAACCATCTAAGGCGACTTTCTCTAATCTTATCTTCTACTGGAGCTACTCCAACCTTTTCACGTATATGCTCATTTCGTATCCTATCTCTAAGGGTAAAGCCACTCATCCACCTGAGCATCCTCATCTCTGCCACACTTAACTTAGTATTATGCTTCTCTTTTAAAGGCCAACATTCGGCACCATAAAGCATTGCAGGCCGCACTACCATCTTATAGAATTTTCCCTTAAGTTTGAGGGGTACATTTCTATCACATAACAAGCCCGATGCATTCCTCCACTTCAACCATCCAACTTGAATTCTGCTGATAATATCCCCATCTATTTCACCATCACTCTGAACAATAGATCCAAGATATCTAAAACGTGTACTCTTATTAATGACTTGATCGCCCAAAGTCACAATCCCCTCACTAGGTCTATTACTACTAAAATTACACTCCATATATTCTGTTTTAGATCTACTCAAGCGAAAATCTTTAGACTCTAAGGTTGACCTCCATAATTCAAGTTTACCTTCAACTCCCTCTCTAGTCTTGTCAACAAAAAGAATATCATCAGCAAAAAGCATACACCAAGGTACATCCTCTTGCAAATGTCTAGTGAGAACATCCATGACTAAAGAAAAAAGATATGGGCTTAAGGCTGATCCTTGATGTAACCCAACCGAAATAGGGAAATACTTGGTCAATCCACCTTGTGTTTGAACACAAGCAATATCACATCCACAAATGTATTTAATTATTTAAGATCTAACATATATTTTCTCTCTTCTCAGGGCCAAGGGAAGTAACATTTTTATAAATTATATAAGGTTTGTGACAAAGTGGGAAAAATTGGCGAATTTGATGGAGGAAAATCAGAGAGCTAGGGAGAAGCATGAGATTGAGGAGATAGACAAATGAATTTCTCAAAAGCGAGGAAAAAAAAAACTGGTAAAGAGGAAGAACATAATTCTCAAAGGGAGACAAGAAACTCTAATTGCTATCATCATATCAATCCATTGAATTGATGTATTACAAAGCAGCCTATCATATTTATAGAAATTGGGGATCATCTGATAAAATAAAATTCAAACATAAACTTTCATAATAATTATTACAAAGGATAGTTTAAAGATAAAATTAACCAAATAAATAAAAAATCCTGATAAATTAAAAATGAAATTACTGACACAAATACTAAAATTTAATTGAAAAGTACTCTATTGAATTTTAATTGTTGGAAAAACTATAAGCCTTTAATTGTACTACAGAGCTTGTAAAATTCATCTAAAAGAAAATGAGGAATGAGAAATCTATTTTGAAGAAGAGATGGAGAATTGAAAATCCTTCTCAAAGAGTAAGAAATGATGGAGACAAATTATTCTTCTCCATAATATCGGCAAAAGACTCGTCATAGATCCTCAAAAAAATTAAAAAAATTATGGGTAAACATTTGGAAGCTTAGATGTCTTCATACATAGAATGAGGCTGACTTGAGGGAAATGTGAGTTGATTTAAACCGTCTTCTGTCTCTCTTTTTATTTATTTTGAATTTTTATATATTGTACTGGTTCTTCAATTCTTTTATTTAGTTATATTCATAAAAGCTAACTTTATTTTCTTAAGATTTGGCGGCTATTTATATAAAATTTTAGTTTAAATTAGGGGTGCAACTGAGTCAAGCCGACTCGCGAGTTGCTCGGTCTCGACTTGGTAACAGGCTCGACGAGTTGAGCTTATCGAGCTCGCGAGTCGAGCTTGAACACAATTTCGAGCTCGACGACTTATCGAGCTTGAGCTCGAACAGGCCTTGGACTCGACTCGTTGGCTTGACGAGCAGCTCGCGGAGCTGACTGGGCGGGAAATCCAAAACGACGGATGAGCTTGGGATGATGGATCTCGACGTTGGACGTGATGACAAACTCAGGATAGTGGATCTTGACGGCGGAGCCTCTGGACGACGATGGACGAGCTTGGGACGGTGGACGTGATGACAAGCTTAGGACGGTGGATATTGACGGCGGAGCCTCGGGAGACGACAAGCTCGAGACAATTGATCTCGACGGCATATGTGATGACAAGCTCGAGACTGAACTCTATTGCGGATCTCGACGATGACGGACCTCCGGACAACATTGGACGCGACGACTGAGCTCTATAGCGAAGCTCAGGACTGAGCTTGACGAGCTGCTCGACATGAGACTAGTCAAGCTCAAGCTCGAATTTTGAGCTCAGATTCTGAGCTCAACTCGAGTTCGAGCTCGAGCTAGAGTTCGGTGTTTGGCAGTTGAGCTTGACTCGAACATCCCCTGGCTCGAGCTCAACTTGTTTGCACCCCTAATCTCCATCGATATAAGTGTACATAATCATCTGCAGTAGTCTTAGGAATATATTGTGTAGGAAGCATTTGGCAGAGAATTGTTTGTAGACTTACAAGGAAGAGGTGGAAAGAGTAGAATCCAAGGAATTGTCAATAGACCCATGAAAGAAGATCAAATAAAAAACATTTATAATTGAATTATGTCAAATTTTGCTAGAATTTATAATTTATAGGCATTAATTCCAATGTGTTGCTCAATTTAAAAGGGCTCTATTTTAGATTCATTTCCTTAAAAGGTTCTTGGTAAAATCTTTTTGAGTTTAGATGAACTATGATCTTATCATCTGGCCTAAATTCGGCACCTCTCATTCATGTTTGTAATTATATACCTGTTATGAAATATTTTATTTCTAAAATATGATCCACGGTAAAAGTAGCATCATGCTTTCTTAGTAATCTTTGATAAACCCAAGACAGTTCATACAGACATACTTCTTGTATCGATATGGATATGATAAAAGTTTATACAACCCGGTATTATGTTTCATATCTTTAGCAAATTAGCATATCCTATATTGTGAAAAAATTCATGCTACATCTCTTTTTAAAATTGT